ATAAAAAATTGCTACAACAGTGATAAGCAAATAAAATGCTTCTAACAATACAAACAAACAAACTTGCTTCAAACATATTAACCAATGTAGACCAATCCAAATAGGATTATTATTTTCTAAACTCCTTTTCTCGCTTAGGTATTTCTATTCAATCAAAAAAGTTAGTAATCCAAATTTTTATTGCAATCCCAAATTTTATTCATTTGGATTTGTATTTTTTTTTTTTTTTTTTCCATTCCCTTTCATATATATAGGTATTTTTGCAAAGAAGGTTAGCAAAAAAACACAACAAAATACAAACCAAATAATTTAAAGAAATTGTAAAATTAATAAATTAATTTAATAGCAAAATTACGTAAAATTGCTATATAAGTTATACATATAAACCTTAAAACTCCAAAAATAAATGTACAATTTAATTTACGCAATAAATATGTAATTAAATTAGACAAGTTACAAAACTTTAAAATTTATAATTCCAAATAATTAAATTAAAAAATTTATTGCCATGAGTTATATATCAATTTAATTCACAATTAATATGTAAATAACTCTAGCAACTAAAATAAAAAGACATGCAAAGCATGATAGGAAATTAAAATAAAATTATCCCAAAAAATTATAATTTATGAGCATGTTATTATTCCAAACTGTATACTAATGGCATGCAATTATTGGTACTCATAAAATAACATTATACAAACGTAACAGTAGGCCATTTAGAGGAAATCGTAGCATGCAACTTATTTTAATATTTCAATTATGACTATCATATATGCTGCAAATATGACAACAAAAACAACTGGACAAATTTGTAAGCATGCACTTTTCTAATATGAAACGCAGGCCTACTAAAGAAATTAAATTGAAAGTCATAGTCTAGAACAGCACGTGAAACAACTGTGGGCCATTACAGGTGATTCGACTGTAGGGAAGGCAAAGAAATTAAACCATGAATTCTATCCCAGTAACAGGCAAATAAATTAAATCATGAATTCTATATATGAAACAGTGATTATACATATGCGTCAGTTGCGACGGTACTATTTATGTAATATCATCGAAAATGTGTATATAATCTGTTTTAAAATTGTTAGATAAATTGTGTAAATTAAATAAGATAAATAGATTCGTGATTCATCAATTACATTACAGAATAAAAAAAAAAATGTTAAATATTACAATCATATTTCACAAAAATACACAATACAATACAATACAATGGTAAAGAAAGTAAACTGAAGTGTGGTATACCACAGTCTCTTTAAAATAGATTACCTGCCTCACCGTGAGTGCTGGAGGTACATCAACTTCTGTCTCCCAAGATACGATGGTTTAGACCGACTAACGCAGAAGTACCTTCTGATAGCTTTAGCGAATCGACAATGACAGTACTTTCTCACACAGGAAAAATATATTATAGGAGGAGACTGACTTGACTATAATATGAGAGCAAAAATTCTATACCAAAACCAAGAGAGATGGATCTCCTTTTGTACACCATGAGAGAGAGAGGAGGAGCCTCTAGCCATGAAGGCTAGCAACCAATGCCCATTACTCCTGCAAAATAGCCAGAGTAATGAACTAACACTGATGGACAATAATATCTGAAATATATATTCTGCATATACAAGTGTGTATATCTGCAGCAGACTTGGCCAAAAAAAATTAGATTGATGGACCACCAAACCGGCCCAGCCCAAACCTAACCCAAGATCCACAAATCACAGACCTGTATCCGGGCGGGCAGGCCGTGTGCGCGTGTGGCAATTTTTTCATAACCAACTTAAGTCATAGTCTTGGCCCAAACTCATCCTTGAAGCATCCATAACTCTCTTCCTTTGAAAAATTTGAATGTCCCAAATGACTCATGCCCTTATCAAAATCTTGAGATTTAAATACCCATCAAAACTTTCCTTTACAATCAATGGCCCCGTTTGGTAGAGCTGTGGGAAAGTGATTATAACTTATAACCTAATAGCTTATGGCTTATAACTGTGAATATAAGCTGATTTTTGACTTATAAATTAAGTTTCTCCTCTCTCACTCAAAGAATAAGTTGATTTTTGACTTACAAAAAGTTATAAGCTGTATTGTTAAGCTGAACCAAACACATCAAAATAGCTTAAATTAAATTAAAAGCTGAAATAAACTGGAAATAAGTCCTACCAAACAGAGCCAATGTGAGATTGATAGCTACACTCAATTCCCAATATCTCATTTATGAGGTCAACGTTATGAAACAATTTCTAATTCAATTCTTAATAATTTTTTATCATTCTTTTTGTGGTATAAAGACCTTATTACAAAGAATGTAAACCTATTTAATCACACCTCAACCAATAATTAAGATCTATTTTAATTTCAAATTTAAATCACCATAAAATTATTTTTTCCAACTCCTTGTGCCACTATCCAGCCACCATCCTACAATCCACTCCAATCGTGGACTACCATATCTATTTAAGGCTACTTTGGAAAGATGATTATAATCAACTTTTTAGTTAAAAGCGGATTATAAACTGATTATAATCGATTTTTTGTGAGAGAAAGAAGTGGACTATAATCTGAAAAGTAGATTACAACCCACTTCCTAAAAAACCCCCACGGTCACATCTGACTACTTAAATATGTTTTGTTTTAAATTTTTTTAAAAGAAATAAAATAAAATAAACTTGTTTTTAGTTTACTAGGAATGGCATCTTAGCGGGAACTTCATAAGTGTTTGAATTTGTATTGTTTGTTCATGATTTGCATTTGTTCTCTGGAGTTAGGAAGCCAAATCTATATATATACATATATATATAAATTTACATATAAATCTTAATATATAGATTGATTTATTATTTAATAGATCTTATAATAATTAATGACATTTTTCATTAAATACTATTAAAAAGTATCATTAATTATTAATTTTCAACCACAATTTAAAAATTTTATCACAAAAAATATCACTAATTATAAGTTTTAGCAATAGTTTAAAAAAATCGTCATAAAAAAGTCACTAATTTTCAATTTTCAGCTACAATTTGAAAAATTTATCATAGAAAAATGTCACTAATAATTGGACTTAATTCTCATCAAGTCCTATTAAAAATATATAGTAAAATCGTTGTTAAAAATAATTTTCTATGACGAATTTTTTAAACTGTTGCTGAAAGTTAAAAATTAGTTACTTTTTTTGTCACGATTTTTTTAAACTGTTGCCAAAACTTATAATTAGTGACATGTTTTGTAATAAAATTTTCAAACTATCGTTGAAAATTAATAATTAGTGACATTTTTAAATAGTATTTGATGAAAAACACAATAATTCTCACATGACCTATTGAAAGTTTATCTATTAGGACCTACACGTAATCCAATAGGTCATATGAAAAACGTCACTAATTATTAATTTTCACCGACAGTTTAAAAACTATCACAAAAAATATCACTAAGTTTTAACTTTTAGCGACCATTTGAAAAATTTGTCACAAAAAAATCATTAATTGTAAGTTTTAGCGACAATTTATAAAAATCGTAATAAAAAAAGTCTTAATTGTTAATTTTAGCAACGTACAAAAATCATTGTCACAAAAAATTATTTTTAACGATGATTTTATTAAGACTTATTTTTAATAAGACTTGATAGGAATTAAATCTAATTATTAAGATTTATGATTTGTTTATTCATATATATATATATATATATGTATGTATGTATTTAAAAATCAACCCCCATGTGCTTCAAATATTATAATAATTCTCAAAATTAACTTTGAAAAATTAAAACTAAGGCTCCTATCGTGTCTTAAAGTGTCTTGCCTTGTTCTCACGGTGTCTTGCGTGTTTATGTTGTGCCAATAAAATGAAATTATGAAAAAATAGACTTGTCATGGGGTACATCTCATATATGTTTCAAACGGTTACAACACTTATTTTAAAGAGTCAATTTATGTCACTGTTCTAACTTACAATAGTGTAATGATATCCAAACTTTGTTTTGAATTTTTGATTTAAACAAGGATTTGCAATACGTATATAGATTCAAATACAAATTTAAAATTACAAAAAAAAATAAAAAATTCATGAGTTATGCAAAACTCTTGTAGGTAAAAACTTGTTACAATATGGCAAATTTTTAGCATTTTTTTTTTTTACATTTGTAAACAAAAATAAAAAGAAAAAATAAATAAATGAAAGAAAGGAAAAAGACTTCACCGACATGGCTGTGATAGCCCATCCACTATGACTATTTATTTCTCCATTTTGTTGGCTTCAAGTCCAGCTAAATAATACTGTAGTCTAAGCAGAATTTCCACAAAAGATAACTACAAAAAAATCAAGGGTCATTCTATGGGAATGGGTTGCGAAGCCGCTACTATTGTGCAGTCTTTTAGGTTTATTCTAGGTCTATTTTAATAATTTAAATATTTTATTTTTAAGGTATATCAAATATAATATATTCATAAAAAAAAATTAAATAGATCAAAGATGAATAGTCTTTTTATCAAATCACATTTATATTTGAAGAATAAAATTGAGTATGAAAGGATTATCGATATTCGATCAATTTAATTTTTTATAAATATGTTGTACTCAATATATTTTAAAAAATGAATTGTTCATATTATCAAAATAGGACCTAAAATGGTCCCAAAAAGCAGCACAACAGTGGCTATTGTGCGGCCCAAATCCCATTTGTCTTTGTACTAAAAAAAAATAATGAGTTATAACCAAACACTGCATAAGGTATAATAAAAAATCTTTTCAATTATAACAATAATAATAATCACAATAATAACCAAAATTATAATGTGTCATAACTAATACTATAATAAATTATAAACAAATTATAACTAATACCATAATAAAATATAATCAAAGACCACATATATCCTAACTTACCCAAACCATAGAATTTCCCAAGCAGAATTTCCACGAAAGATAACTACAAAAATGCCCTCACACAAACCAACCTTTGACCATCCTTCTCCTATAAATATCAATGACACAAAACCACAACCCATAAAACTCAAATACATCCCTATATAGCTTCCAATCCAAAACATGAAATTCTTCAAATCTCTCTCCCTTTCCATTTTCTTTCTCATTGCTCTCCTCTCCACCTACACCCATGCAGCCACTATCAACATCAAAAACAATTGCCCTTTTACTGTTTGGGCTGCAGCGGTGCCCGGTGGTGGTCGACGACTTAACCATGGCCAAACATGGGCCATCAACCCTCCTGCAGGCACAAAGGGAGCCCGGGTATGGGCCCGGACTGGTTGCACCTTTGATGGAGCGGGTCGGGGCAGGTGCCAGACCGGTGACTGTAACGGACTCCGCGAGTGCCAAACCTATGGTACACCCCCTAACACACTAGCTGAATATGCACTAAACCAATTCAACAACTTGGATTTCTTTGACATATCCCTAGTGGATGGATTTAACGTGCCGATGGATTTTAGCCCTATTTCCAATGGATGTACTCGGGGTATCAAATGTACTGCAGATATAAATGGACAGTGCCCGAGTCAGTTGCGGGCCCCAAGTGGGTGTAATAATCCGTGTACCGTATTTAAGACCGATAAGTACTGTTGCAATTCTGGAAAATGTGCACCCACAAATTATTCAAGGTTTTTCAAAAAGAGATGCCCAGATGCATATAGTTATCCCAAGGATGATAAGACGAGCACATTTACTTGCAAAGCGGGAACCAACTATAGGGTTGTGTTTTGCCCTTAAATTCCATTTTGATAGTACTTATGCAAGTAGTAGTACCAGCGTTCTACAATAAGAGTTTTGGGATCCAAAGCTTATGAAGAATAAATTCAAGCACATGTAGTGATGTGCAGATGTAATTGTAACCTATGGTTGTAGTAAACATAAACCTAAATGGGCATGAATATGGAAAAAAAACTTTTTTGTTTGGGTAATTTATAATGACTTTCTTTAAATTAATACAGCAGTGACACATCATAGAATAAACAAAATGAGATGAGATAATATGATTATCATAGTAACATTGAATTTTTATACCCAATTTGTTATCATTTAATTTTTCATCATCGCATTGGTGTAATAGACTTCACTTTTTCACTGATAAAAAAAATAATAAATAATAAAAATAATGAGAGATTAGCCAATAAATCCTATATTATGGACTTGTAATCTATATAATCTCTTTTTTTTTTTGTGTGTGCGATCCATTTAGTCCTTTTAGATGTGTAATGACTCATTTGTCCGCTATATTGGAGTGTCACATTTGAAAAAAGTACACTAAAGAATTTTTTAATGCCACATCATACCGGTCACATTACAGTGTCATATTTGAAAAAAATATACTAAAGAGTTTTTAATTTTTTTTTAGTGTCACATCATACATGCCACGTTGGAAAGTCACATGTCATGTTTGGAAAAAGTGGGGTTTTTAATTTTTTGTAGAGTGTCACATCATACCCGTCACATTGTCACGTTTGAGAAAAGTACACTAAGGATTTTTTTTTTTTAATGTCACATCATACTCGCTACGTTATCACATTAGGAAAAAAGTACATTAAAAAGTTTTTATTTTTTCAATAAAAGTTTTTATTTTTTCAGTAAAAGTTTTAGAGTGTCACATCATACCCGTCACGTTGTCACATTTAGGAAAAGTACACTAAAGAGTTTTTAATTCTTTTGGAGTGTTACATTAATATATGCCACATTAGAGTATCACATCATACATGTTACATTAATAAAAGGATATAGATATCCCCAAAACACTACCAAAATAAAAATATGACCACACAAAAAGAAACTCTCCACTAATAGAATATAACAGATCAATAGAAAAAAAATTGAACTAATTGAAATACTTGTTTGAAGTGTCCATAAAATTTAATGGTAAATATCCCAAAAATAATCCACTTCTTCGTGCGTAGTGTATCAATTCATGGGTCATGTTAAAATATGTTAGTATTATATGTTAGTGATGCTAGTGGTATCATTATGTTTAGTTTGCTTTATGCTTTCGGTGCCTCAATTGGCACCCAATGTTGGCTTTCTCCTCTCTATAAAGAGAGTGTAAATCTCTTTGTAAACATATATCAATACATCAATCAATAATAATACATCATTTATTTTACAGGTCACATGCAAAGTGTCATGTTAAATGATTAAGTCAATTTAATATAAAAATTTAATCATCTTAATTATACAAGAAAGTCTCTCACCTGCACGATTGAGAGAGAGAGATGGCCTTTTTAGAGGTTTTATTTGACAAGTGATTTTTTTAATTAAAAAATTAAAAAATTATTGAAAAAATTAAAAATTCAAAAATTCATATTAAAAAATTAAAGATTTTTTTTTCTCTCTACTTTTTGTATATCTTTTCGTACAAAGCTAAAAAATCATTCCAAACATACTAGTTTTTTTTAGTTTATATTTTAGTCAAATAGCTAAAAAGTTACTAAATTAACATATTCCCAAATGAGACCTAAGTCATGTCTTAATTATACTCTCTACAGTATTATAACATGTAAGAGTTTTAAGGGATCAAATTTTTTTTGTCTCTAAAAATAAATATTTTATTGTAAAAAATTTTCATTTATCAAGAGGATAATATTTAAAAAGTTGTCCCGCAAAAATTTTAAAAAGACTTTTAAAGGACAAAATTTTTAAAATGATGTTGATAAATACACAAACAAAATAATTTGACCTCAAAAGGACAGAAATTGTTGTAATTTAAACATTTTATGAATCGTTAATATTTATTAAAATAAAAATTCGATGATAAAAATATCTATAAAAAAAAGAAGAAAAAAAAATGGTGATTGGATTTTGAATTTGAGAAGGATTTACATTTTCTCCCCAAATACATGATTCAAAGCTAAGCTCGCGTTTGGAAATTGATTATTTTTATTATTTTTTTAACTTTTTATAATAAAAAAAATAATAAAAATAATATAACATCTTATAGTAACTTTTTTACTTTTCGTCTAAAAATTGTTTCCGAACGGAGTCTTAATGATTAAGGCATAGCTTGTGGGTCATGTAAAATTCTCTTGTAGGAAAAGAACTTTTATAGACTAGTCTAGCTTCTTCTTCTTTTACGATTGAGAGAGAGAGATGGCCTTTTTAGAGGGCTTATTTGACAAGTGATTTTTTTAATTAAAAAATTAAAAAATTATTGAAAAAATTAAAAAGTCAATCACTCATATAAAAAAATTAAAGATTTTTTTTTCTCTCTACTTTTTACATATCTTTTCGTACAAAGCTAAAAAATCATCCCAAACATACTAGTTTTTTTTAGTTTATATTTTAGTCAAATAGCTAAAAAGTTACTAAATTAACATATTCCCAAATGAGGCCTAAGTCATGTCTTAATTATACTCTCTACAGTATTATAACATGTAAGAGTTTTAAGGGATCAAATTTTTTTTGTCTCTAAAAATAAATATTTTATTGTAAAAAATTTTAAGGATCAATTTCATTTATCAAGAGGATAATATTTAAAAAGTTGTCCCGCAAAAATTTTAAAAAGACTTTTAAAGGACAAAATTTTTAAAATGATGTTGATAAATACACAAACAAAATAATTTGACCTCAAAAGGACAGAAATTGTTGTAATTTAAACATTTTATGAATCGTTAATATTTATTAAAATAAAAATTCGATGATAAAAATATCTATAAAAAAAAGAAGAAAAAAAAATGGTGATTGGATTTTGAATTTGAGAAGGATTTACATTTTCTCCCCAAATACATGATTCAAAGCTAAGCTCGCGTTTGGAAATTGATTATTTTTATTATTTTTTTAACTTTTTATAATAAAAAAAATAATAAAAATAATATAACATCTTATAGTAACTTTTTTACTTTTCGTCTAAAAATTGTTTCCGAACGGAGTCTTAATGATTAAGGCATAGCTTGTGGGTCATGTAAAATTCTCTTGTAGGAAAAGAACTTTTATAGACTAGTCTAGCTTCTTCTTCTTTTATTTATTTATTTGTCTTTTCTGAAAATATTTTTTTACAATTGTAAACGTAGATAAAACAATAAATAAATAAATAAAGGAAAGAAAATAAAAAAAAAGGGTAAATTATGCAAATAGTCATTGTAGTTTACACAATATGTCAATTTAGTCTCTGTTATTTCAATTTGTTCGATTATGCTCTTTAATTTAACAGGTTGTGTCATTTTAGTCCAATAAATAACGGTTGTTAAATTTAGTGGACGGAAAGTGTCACAACCCAAATCCCGCCCCATAAGAGTCAGTGAAGTGACCGGCCAATAATCTATGATTATGGCTTTCCTGTACAAATCAACATAATCGGGACTACCAGAAGCTTATAATATAAAGACAACAAATAGTTCATTGAGTTGTCTATCTATATGCACAAATTCAGATGTATATAAACGTTAATTTACCCACTGTACAATACATACATACAAAGACATCATTCATGGATATATATATATAAACAAAAGCCTGGAAATATGATCACAGACTATACAACAGTCTCTCGACCTAACCTCAACTCGAAGGCACCAAAACTCATAGGGCTTTAAAGGATGGCTCGACTCTCTCCCTAAGCTAGTTCTCTATGACGTTCACATATACATATATATAAAATAGTGAGATAAAACCCAGTGAATAATATTAACGTAAAGAGATTAGTAAACAAATTCCAAGCCATATCATATACAGAAAATAGATCATACAGATCGGTCATATCAGAACATAATAATGGTACATCCCACAGAACATATCATATCGTATTTCGACTAGAGTAATTAGTTCCGAATACCGATTAAACACATATCACCACAATAAAGTAGCTAACGAGATCTCGTAATCACATATATGTCATGGACTCGTATTTACATGTCGTTTCCCATGACTTGGGACTATCTGTGGATGCCATAGTAGATTCGCAAATAGGACATTCGTTCACATAGCAAAATAACAGTTTAGAAAATCATATATTATCATATAATGGTTTGAACATAATTTATACAAACATATATTTACAAGAATGTTACTCACAGTGGGCTTCCAGAGACGGTCAGTTGGTCCTCGACTATAACCTACAATCACAAATAGATAGAGAGAGAGAGAGAGCGAGAGAGAGCGGGTGAGTGAGTTGAAAGTAGAGAAGAAAGAAAAAACTTTTGAAGAGATGGAATTAAGGGATATGAAAGGCACAATTTATAGGGCAAAGGATACTTAGGGCAAAAAAAGAAAATAATAATAGTAATAATAAAATAAAGTTTACTTGGTGGGCAAGAAAGGGGTACACTTGGGGAAAAAATAAAAGGAACTTTCCTTGGAGAGAAAGTAAAATAAAAATGATTTTGCTTATTAAGGAAGAAAAGTAAATCTATTTCACAAGAAGATGAATACTAATGAGATGGAGATAAAAAGAGATAAGATAAGGAAATAAGTTAGGTTTTCATCTAGAAATCTCACCACCAAACTATAACTAATATCTCTCACTAAAATATTAATACCTCAAAAATTTGGAATCTCACATTTTATCCTCCTTAAATAAATTTCATCCTCGAAATTTACAATTCTAGTAATTCATTTGGGTCCAGCAACGCTTTCACAGTTCATCACAAACATGTTGCTCAACTTAGGATAGTACCTACAGCAGTCGTCTCAGTCTATCGGGTATATTCTGGAACTAGAGTATAAACCCTTCCTTGTCTAAGATTTTTCTCCTCAAAAACAGTAGTTGCATTTGTTCTTGGTACAGAAGTAGATCCAATCATACTGGCATTGGGTCTATCGATACTCAAATGTGCTTGTGGGCAAAATTTGGCTAAGTGTCCTATTTTCCCACATCTGAAACAAACTCTAGACAGATGGCGACAAACGCTCCAATGTTGTTTTCCACACTCCTTGCAAGTAGGTATGCCATTGTCTCCTCGACTTGACTTGCCATTTATGGAAATCAT